ATTTATAAACTCGTGTATGCTGAAAATAGCAAAAATTCACTATAAATAAATGAGGCAATGGTGATTTGCTGCATTAGAAATCTGCAGTATTAGCTCATCCCTGAATACATATATATATGACCCCATTTTTGTGACATCATAAAATCTCTTTAATGTCTAGAGCAAATTGCTCTTTTTTTTTTTTCCTGGAAGCCTTACAAGGAAATAGGAGATCGGCAGCTTACTGCATTAATGTCAATCCTGCCACTTTGATCCTGTACCACTGACTTAGCAGGGGTGCTTTGACTCTAGTCCTACACTTTCCTAAGCGTCAGCTGGTCACCTGTCCATTCATTAACAGCAAAAGCTATAATGCTGGAGAATTACCCATTCTGAACTGGGCAAGTATATATGATGAAGCTGCTTGGTATTAAATACCAATATACTGGTATAATGGCCATCTTCATGCCCTAGGTTTGCTATAGTTTAACCTCTGTTCATAACCTGGGCACAAATGGACACACAGCATAAAATGGCAGACATGTAAAGAACAGGCAGTACGTGTAAAAAGAACGCAGATATCTTCCCAACACATTTCAAGAATAAATTAATAACAACAGCAGTCTACAAAGACAGCTTTTTACTGAAGGAAATCATTTCCAAGGGAAGTATGGCAGAGCTCAGAAGGAAGTTTGATGCAGCTCAAAGAAGGAAAATTAGTGTAGTTTTAGTGCCAAAAGACTATAGACTTATGGAGATTTCAAAACTTTAGTAGTTTTATTCCTAGATAAAGAAATATTTCTTCATGAAAAAAACTGAAGAAAAAGCTTTTGAATGATGATTCATATTTGAAGCCTGCCAGTCCCTCTTCTTTAATTGTTTTAATTACCATTTAGAGCAAAACAGCTAAACCAGTAATTGAGCTATCCATTAAACCAGTGATACACATAGCATTCAAAGATAGTTCTTCCAAAAGTAATCCTCTAAAACTCTGACAATCTTCAACAATCACAAAGAAACAGCTAAAAGAAAAACAAAGAACAATTCAGCTTCTCTAACTACTCCACTCCCACCCTACCACTTCTTAATATCTACATGTTCTGTATCATACATATTGGGACAGGAAGCTATCAAAAATGATGCCATTATTGAGACTGCAATCATGACAGTCTCATTTCTTGTTTTAATGAAATTTTTTCATTTGATCTTGACTGATGCAAAAAAAGGTTTTATTCAAGGATGATTCTGAGACCACAGTTGTTTCCTACTAGTGAGTTGATGCAGTGTATGCAATTCATGAATGCTTGTGTTTTGAGGCACAGTCTTGTTAACTGGGATGAATTGCACTCATAAGAATGAAAAATGGATTTCAGTAATAGTAGTCAGTAAGAACAGTTTTCCTCTAAAATACTACAAAGATAAAGCACATGATTTTTTCCCTGTTTTAATTTTCAGTGGCAGTGCTAAATGTCATGTATTTCATCGCATGCCTTTCACATTCTAAGTATCTTGGACTTAGCTCAGAGTTCTGAATATCATGTAAATTATGTAAATCTTCAGGCTTAAATGTAAGCTTGGTATCCTCTGAAGACACTGTCTACTTCTAAAGTTTTTCTTGCCAGTCTGAAATGTTTGGAATGGAATCACAGAATCATAGAATGACAGAGTTGTAGGGGTTGGAAGGAAACTTTGGAGATCATCGAATCCAGCCTCTCTGCTAAAGCAGGTTTCCTACAGTAGATGACACAGGAGAGCATCAAGGTGGGTTTCGAATATCTACAGAGAAGGAGACTCCACAACTTCTCTGAGCAGCCTGTTCCAGTGCTTTATCACCCTCACAGTAAAAAAGTTTTTCCTCATGTTTGTCTGGAACTTTCTACATTCCAGTTTGTGCCCATTTCCTTGTCTTCTGTCACTCAGCACCACTGAAAAGAGTCTGGCCCTATCCAATTCTCTCCTGCCCTGTAGATATTTATAAGCATTTATATGATACCCTCTCAGTCTTCTCCATGCTGAATAGCCCTAGGTATCTCATTCTTTCCACATAAGGGAGATGCTCCAGGCCCATAACTGTCTTTGTGGCCCTCTGCTTGATTCTCTCTGGAAGTTCCTTGTCTTCCAGGAACTGAGGAGCACAGAATTGGACAAAGTTGTCTAACCTGGGCAGAGTAGAGGGTAAAAATAACCTCTCTCAACCTGCTGACCACACTCTTGTTAATGCACCCCAGAATATCACTGGCCTTGATCACAAAAGCCAGGGAGAAAGAAGAGAGGAAAGGCATGAAAGAGAGGGGAGAAGAGAGGAGTTCAGTTGGAAGGGAGTTGCAAAGGTCATCAAATCCAATTATCTGATCACTTCACACCTAACCAGAAGTTAAAGCATACTACTGAAGACACTGTCCAAATGCCTCTTGAACACTTAAACACTCTAGGAAGCCTGTTCCAGTGTTTGACCAAATAAACTTTTCATTGCATCCTGCCATCAGTGATGATGTCAGAGCCCAGCACTTCCTTCTGCCTCCCCTCATCATGGTGCTACAGAGAGCAGTGAGATTGCCTCTCAGGCTCCTCTTCTCCAGACTAGACACCTCATGTGTCCTCAGCATCTCCTAACAGGACATACCCCCAGCCCTTTTATGAGACTTACTGCCCTCCTCTGGATTTCAACTACCTTAACTTCATTTTTATGTTAAGCCCAGAAATGCATGCAATATTCAAGGTGAGACTACACCAACACTAAATACAGAAGTGAGAATAAATTACTCCAAACCTCAGCATAGTACCTTCTCTAATATCAGTCAGTTTGTCCTTTTCAGGCTACCAAATGCTAATGTCCAGCCACGCTAGGCAATGGTCACATAACAATTGCCTGTCAGGAAGACAAATAGAATTGGTTGGACGCCTGGTTATAAGTAATTAATTATAGATGGATATCATCCATAAAAGATAGGACATTCTGTCATTTCCCTTTTCATATACTAGCTGAAGTACATTTGGAGTCATTAGTTGGTATTCACTAGTAGGTATGTCAGATAGAAATGTCATCCAATTTTCCCTTCGTTAAAAATGTTTTCTGAGAGTCTTCTGAAACTGTGTTCTTCTAATTCCATTAGATGATATTTGGACTGACTAGTGAATCCATGGGAATGTGCAGATCATAGACATGAGCAACCTAGAGTACACCATTTCATTTCTAAACAAAATTAATAAATGTATTAGATCTAGCTTTAATTTGAATAAACCTGTCTAATTTTAAAGACGTATACAAGTAGTGCCACAGATATGAATGAAGATGAGATTACACTGTTTCTTTGATGAAGCTTGCTCTCTGTCGTACAAATTTTCTTTGTCATCATAAAGAGAGAGTAGACATTTTTTTTCACCCATAACTGCTGTAAGATGTCTGTGAAAGAATTTAATTCCATAAGGAAGCCAATTATATATATCACACATGGTATAGCTTTGGAAATAATAGTGCTGCTTGTTAATTTCTGAAAGTCATTCAATTGCATATTATTTTAATTAAAAAAAGTAATTCAACAGGCAGTGCAGATGTGACAAGTATGTATTTGAAAACTTTATAGTTCTTCATTCAACATACTCATGCCAGAAATAATGACAATGTGGTGAATAGTGCAATCCAGATGATACAGATCAATAAAGAAGCTTTTTATGAGCACCCATTGCATCCAACTGGCACAGTGAAGGCATAGGACTATAAAATCATTGCTTATTTAAGGGTACAGTTGTTTTTTAAAAAGTGAAACAGGCAAGAGTCATTTTTATTGTAAAACAGTGAAAATTGGAAGTGCAAATACAGGCTTTCCTTTTAACTAACGGACAGAAGCAAAATCAGAATGGTGACAGAGTGTTTTACTACCCCAGTAGTGTTAATGTCACTGTTTTTCTCTAAACATTGCAACACATACTCAATATTGTATAAATGGCTAATTGATTCCTAAAGTGTGAAATTCTTGGAACTGAACTTTGGAGAATCTTTGAGGCTGGCACTATAGCCCAGCAATTTTTAAAAGACGTATAGAGAAAAGAGCTTCTCCACGTTCATCAGTGTGGTAAATGCTTTAGAAAGTTTACAAAGCTCCAACTCTGTTAGTCAGGCTGCCAAGTAACTGTTTCACCTGCTTCACCTGTGTATACATGCATCTCCCCACATACTCTCATAGACATTTCTCTGTGTTCCATTCCAAGAGCAATCCAACTACACAACTACTGCTTGCAGAGCTGCTATCAGTTATTGAAAGCTTTGAAAAATCAAGGCCATGAACTTGATGTGTGGACTTATTCAAGAAGCATGCAATAAACAGAATAATTTAGCTGAACTAGAGCACTGTGCTTTTTCTGGCTTCTGTTGCTGATCAAGCGAGCTGTGTTACCCTGTGTTACGCACTGTCTGCTTTTCCTACACTGGTGTGTGGTCAAATAAAATTATGGCCAGTTTCTCACATTGTAAACAAATAGTGAAAAGTGGGAAAGTTTCACCAAATTTTGTTACCAATACTGAGAATAGCTGCTAGATAAAGACTAGAGAAAGTTACTGAGAAAAGTTTAAAGAATTTTTGATCTTGAATATCATGTGTAGTCCTCATATTGAATATTTAACTTTTAAATAAAAATACCCTAGTGGTTACTCAGTGCTTTCTCAGAAGTATCACAATAACATAATTATTAGAAGCAAAAGGAGAAGTGAAACCAAACTGCCTTGCCTGTTTACATCCTGGTAAAACAGACAACTTTCAAACTTTTAATGCGTAGAGTATTACATCACTAAGATATGTCCTTTGTTATCATGCACTTTACACTGTGCTAGCTAGCATTACTTATTAGATTCTCTTTCCATCTTTAAAAAAGGTATGCATGTATTATGGAGAGCTATGAAGAAAGGAAACCGAAACCTCAGAAGGGACAATGACAGATAAAATATTTTCTTTAGGATAAATAACTCATTGCAAATATGCTAAAGATACAACTGAACATTCTGTTAAGGGAAAAGAGGATCGTACCTGTGAAAAGCCGATCACTTCTCCACTTTCATCGAGCACATTAAAATTAATGATTGGACCTTGGACATCTGGATTGCTGAAATCTGTGTCATTGTAAAGACGTACAACAGGTGCCCCGTTGGCATATTTTAAGGTAGACAGCACAGTATAGGTGTAGCGAGCTAACGCAAAGGTATGCTGTTTTATTTTCTCCATTCCACCTGCAAAAGAAAAGTGTACATATCAGGTACTTTATTTTTATAAAAATATTTTTCAGAACACTGTAAATGGGAGGCAACTAGCACAAAACCAGTATGCTTGGGCTCTTTTAAATTAATATACAATTTGAAAATATTTTTCTCCTCCTACAAAAGCTCCTGTTGTACTGTTTATCTACAATGAATCTGCTGTAGAAATCTAAAGTTACACTGAAATGGATTCACATGCATTACAACACTGATAGTTCTGGCATATACATATCACTAAAACCTTCTGGCACAATTAATTTGAAAAGCAGGTTTTGCTTCAGGTTTCACTTTGCAGATCATAGGAATGAAGTGTCTACCCTTACACAGCGCAGAAAGCAAACTGTTATGTCTAAGATAAAAATAATATTCTAAAAAAATGATAAAATACAAGTCTCAGTCCATGAGCAATTAATTGAATATTGAAAAATGTATTCTACTACGCTTTTTTTTTTTTTTTTAATAAGAAAAAGGATGTTGTGAACACTTCACTGACAGCACCCATGCTACTATTTGCTCTAGAGAAGTTTTGCAGAGATGTTGTCACAGGACTTGGCCTGGAAAAAGCATAAAGAAGGAATATACTGTCATTCTTTGCTTCTTTATTTTTTCTACATAGAGCAGTTTGGAAAAGAGGACTGCACTTATTTCCTGGCAGATGGAGACCTCTGCTACATCTCTGCTTTTTGAGAGAGCTGCATCTCTGTTAGATGTCCCAATCAAAATGACTTCTCGTTCTCAGATGTGCCGTGGGATGACATACCATTGTCATACATGGTCTCTGAAATATTTTAATTCACTGCAGAAAGCTAAAACATAAGCTTCAGATACAAAACAAGTCATTTCAGGAGAATATATCTAATCTGAAAGGATGAGGCAGGTTATTGTATTAGCCAGAATAGACCACTCACAAGAGAACAGCTACTGGGTAGGAAAGTAAAGATCTTATAAGTAGAGATATAACAATATGATTTATTTAACAGTAATTTATCCACACAACAAGAAAAGTGTGAATAATTTTCAAAGTAATCACTGAAATCCAATGAATTTGCATCTAGATAATTAGACATTAGCAATATGATCTCAAACTATTTTAAGCAACACAGGCAGATTTCTGTATCCTAATGGTAAATCCAATCAACTTGCTACTGAAGACAGCTGAAGTTTCAGCTGAAAACCCACAGACCTTTCAATTTCTCACCTTATTTGTTGCAGTATGATGGACCTACATCACATGGAAAAAAATACATATTTTTTCTTCAAAAGCCTTATGAAGCATAATAGTACTTTTCTGCCCCGGTTTTAGACCCAAAGAGTTTTCTGTAATGATGAGTATCGTAGTTGAGGTATGTGAATATTTTTGATACATTAAATGATGCTTGACATTTTCTTTTAATTTCTTTTTTGAACTGCTTATCTGTGAAACTCACACGTACATGCATATCATGCTTATACTTGAAAATCATTTTTATATCTGAATATCTGGAAACTTCTACTGTTTTATATAATTTACCTTGAACAGAAATCCTGTAATCTGCTTACTGACTTTGATACATTTACGTGTAAAAGTCATATATTTGGATGTATAAGCAGGAAAGAATAAGATATCTTTCTCTTGACATACAGAAAAATTACAGCACCCTTTGTTAGTTCACTCTTCTTGACATTTCTGTATTGTGCACTTTCTCCTTCAGGTAAGGAAGGACAGCAGAGAGTAAAAGCACAAGAACAGATTAGATATGAGGAAGAAGTGTATACTTCTGGTGCTAAAGAATAATGAAGAGGAATAAGATATGAGATTGAAGAAATGAGATTCTAACTCATGAAGCACTTTCGAGGAGCACTGCCAGAAGCTAATCAGTACAATTTCTAGATGTTAGCCACAATAAACTTGGCAACCATGTTTATAACACTTTGGTCCAAAAGACAATTTCTATTTTCATCATCTTTGAGAAGAAAAGAATTGCCGAAATAAGAAATGTCCTCATCATTGTTTAGCAGAAGTTAAGAGTGTTGAAATGAAAAAAAAAAGGCTATTTCCTAGCAATTGCCAGAAAGTAGCTGTCTTAAGAGAAGTGACTGCCTTGTCAGCTTCTGAGATGTCTGTAATCTCCTGATTCAGAGCTTTTCCAAATTGGCAGGAATCTTTTAATGGAAGATTAAACTACTGTCATCGCGTCTTGTTGAAGAAATCTCTTATTCAGAAATTTCAGTCTCTCATTCACAGCAATCATCCTGCTATCATTTCTATATTGTTTTCAGCCATTCTCTTTTAAAGTTGCTTAATCACATTTCCTTGTTCATTAGTGAGAAGCTGATGAGCCTCTTCATTATTTATTCTGACAAATCCAAATGCAATACCCTGCAGTTGCTTTGCTGCCCCATGATTGGAAAGAGGAAGCGGTGTTGCCAGGGTCCCATATTTTTGAGCAGCAGAATAGGTTGTGATTAGGTTTGCAATGTCAAAAACCCTGCGAAACAAATGCCAGCAATATGAAGTTTGTTCTGACTGAAAAAAGGGGCATATTTAGTAAATAGTTGTGATTTATTTTTATTTTGCTCAACAAAATCATCTGTACTATCTCCAGCATAAATTCTGTGCTTACTTCATCTCTCTCTACACACTAGATAAATGAATATGAGGAAAACAAAAAAAGACAGAACAAATCTTTGGTCTCCAGTGTGATCAAAGGACCTGCATTATTGCATATAGCCTCACATTTAGGATGACAAAAGTTCAACTCGTTGCTCAGCCAAGCCTGTGTGAGGTAAGTGAGAAGGTAATATGGTTTACTTGCCACTGATTAGCATACTGCATTCCTGCATTTTGCCTACCATCTACACAGAAATCTGGTTTAATATCCAGTTCCTTAACTTTGAATACCTTGGAGACTCTTCCTTAGTTGCCTGTCTGCAGCTAAAAGTAGTAGCACACCTTAAGCCTCTTGAAAGACTTACATCTTGGATAAACCATCCCAACTTCAACTTGAAAAGGTGATGGAAGGACTCAAATGCTTTGACTCCCTAACACTTTATGGATGTTACTCCTTACAGTGGCATCGTTTCACTAAGATGAACTGCATCTAGTTCCTCCTAAAAATTATTCTAAATAAAGAACAATTTATGAGCTCGTTATTTTGGATCAGAATGAAATCTGATGTAAAGTACATCAGATGAAGTCTATAATATTATTTACAGTATGTACGTGTAGAGACAAAACCAGCACCAAGGATGCTCACAGGGCACAATTTGCATTTAATAATGATTCTTCATTGATACAAATGTAAGGACTTTGCTGTGTAAATATAAACTCCAGCATTTCTGTGGATTAATATGCCTCTTATTACTGTGTGTGTATGTTTTGACTTTATATCAAGCCAGACAGGATCATATCATTAATTCTATCCCTAGTAACACATCAGTTTTCACATTATTTATTGCCATAATGAATGCCATATATTTTGCAGTGGCAAAATTACTGAGCAGAAAAGATTGACAAAAAAGCTTTTACTTCTGTGCACAAACTTCCTTGCCAAAGTATTCTACTTAACCTATGAAGATGTTACTAAACCTAACATTACTGAGGTACATTTGCAGACTACAGCATCCAGACAGGTTAGCACCGTCTCAGACATACCATTTCACTTCAGCTTGGGTACCATCACAGAAACCGGTACTGCTCCAGTTTGGACAGTTCAGAGTGTCAAGGATCCTCTTCTGCATATTTTGGTACACTGTGGAATACTTCTAATGCTAACTAGTCACTAGTACAAACAGTGTAGCAGGTGGCAGTCATGTGGAGAGCACATTATACTTGCAAGCGCTCATTATGTTTTTTCACAGAGTGTACTTCTTCATATGGATCAAACCACACCTATTCTGAAGTCTTCATCACCATCTCAGAGGACTTTTCACCAGATCTTGCTGCCCATTAAATGTTTTGACATTTTTTGAAGGCTATACAAAAATGTTTCCTTTCTTCTAAATATAATAAGAGAATAAATCCAGTAAATATTTATTTCAGAATTGCATTCTTCAAAGGCACCTCCCAAATATATGTTTATCTGTCCAAAGACAGATCAGATCATTCAAATCAGCAAAGCCTTATTTCTCGGAAAAGGCCAATTGTGGCAACTGCTGAGGTCCCATTCTGTCAAAATTCAGCAAGGCAGGAGATGAGAATATATTAATAAATTGCTTTTTCCCACTTCTTTATTTTTGTTTTTGGAACTTGGAAAAGTCAAAAAGGAAGAGTCTACAGGTCTCATTCATTTAGCTGACATCTGTGTGGTACTTTGAATTCAGTAGTGGCATGTCAGTAAATCACTCACAACTCAAGATCGGGCTTAAAATTCCAAAATGATTAATTCTAGATTAGAATGAAAATATTTGAAGCCTCAGAAAAGAAATCTGAAGAATTGTGTATTTAATTCAGAAATGTGAACATGGGCAGAATAGTACAACTATACACTTCTGTTCTCTTTTGAGTGTGAAAAACAATTATACCTAAAATCAATTCCCAATATTTAGAGAAGAAAAATAGACTTAACAATTTTATTCCAAGCAAATTTGATACAAGATTTGGAAGTCAACGGGATTTTCCTCTTGTTTCCTCTATTAAGCTGCCTACCTGGCATCCTTCCATTTTCTAAGCTCTCATTGCTCAAGCAGTGACGAGGAACAAGTTTGCTAAGTAACAAAATTGACTGAGAGAGAACGATATTCCTTACCTTTCTTAGGTATGCACATGGGAGCACCCTAATGCTGGGCAATTGACAGATAAATTTTCCATGTCACCTTTTCCATAGTGCGTGCATATGTGCATACTCTTACTTACAGAGACTGTGGTATACTTTAATTTTCAGAAAGAGTAAGATAACTCACATTTAGAAGAGGGAAAGAACACTGCATTCAAACTGCAAGATGAACAATTCTCATCAAGATACTCCAAACCCACTGTCTGGCTTGCCTGATGATAACTTGTATTTGTACTGTCTCTGTCTGCTTATTATGTGAAAAATACAGTAAGGTTTTATTATTTCCAGTAGAATTTCATCTAATCAGAGAAATACGAGATACACAGATGTCCAGTAAGTAATCCAGTATAGAAAGGTTCAGATTTAGTATAGTCCTGGTTTTGCATCATGTAAATGGCAAACATTTAATGGCACACATTATAGAATGGCAAACAATCTCCTCTCTGAAACAACCAGAATTTCAGTAGCTCAAGTGTTCAAATGTTAGTTCTTCCTGAAAGAACTGTAGACAGATATTCATATGTTACTATCTGTAAAAGATTTCAAATAAAGAGATTAAGATAAAGCAGAGACTGGAATTGAGCCTCTAGAATGAAAGCTCTGATGCTTAAGGTTGCACTCAGAAACATCTGTGATATGCATCCAAATACATTTCTTATCTCTCTTATTATGAAAAATTAAATACTGGAGATAAAAAAGAAGGCAGCCATAAATCACATGTAGTGTTATTTTTCCAATTTGCTGTGCAAAAAAAACATAGTTGAAGTTTAAGTGAGCAAGTTCTCTGATACACCTGTAAATCCAAACTCATGTATATTTTGGATAAGAAAAAAATCAGTGTGATTCATTATTCTTCAGCATTACCTACCAGACAGTAATGAGGTAGAGAAACGATGAGCTGAAATCTCATCAAACCAATGAGCCGGGAGTGAAACCAAGATGTAGGCACCTTTTAATAAATTCCAAACAAGACAGATCACCATGTGGAATTTGTGAGTCAACATGCTAATGAAGCTGTG